AAAGAGTTGGTTTTGTGGCTGGGTACTGTGGTGTATGCCTTTAATCCCAAAAGCTCAGGAGGCAAGTTCAAAGCCAGCCTCAGCAATTTAGCGAGGCACTAAACAACTCAGTAACATCCTGTCTCTAAAAATAAAAAATAGTCCTGAGATGTGGCTCAGTCATTGAGTGCCCCTGAATTCAATCCCCAGTACCCCCTCCAAGGGAGAAAAAAAAAATAAGATTTGTGGGACTGGCATGGTGGTGCATACTTGTAGTCCCAGTGGCTCTGGACACATGAAGCAGAGGGATTGCAAGTTCAAAGTCAGCCTCAGCAGTTTAATAAAGCCTCAAGTAACTTATTAAAACTAAGCTTCAAAATAGTGACTGAGCTTTTAATTTTAATTTTTTTTTGATTTGGTGGTTAAGTGCCCTCCAGGAGAGGGGAGAAACACAAAACAAGTTAGGTCATTGGGAACTTTTTAAAGAGGGCTAACTAACAGTTGACTTATACGTTTCTACTCATTATTTTACAGCATCTTAAATATTCTCTTAGGTCTTATTCTAAAATTGCTGTTAGCATAGCTTATTTAAAAATAACTCAGCTTTGGCAAGGTGTAGAGGTGCACACCTGTAATCCCATGACTCAGGATATTGAAGCAGAAGGATGGCAAGTTTTAGGACAGTCTCAGTAATGTAGACCCTGTATCAAAACATAATAAAGACTGATTAAGTGGTTATGTGGTGAAACTCCCCTGGGTTCAATGTATGGTACCATTTAAATTATAAAAGAAAAAATAAAAATAGCCAACTTTGTTTTTTTATGTTTTGAAAATGTACTGGATTTCCATGCTAGAATTCCATCTATACTGTGAGGTCATGTCAGTATTTTTGGTATAGAGCCTTGGGAATAGAACAAATTAAAACACCTTTCTTCCTCTATCCCCAAAAGATTATGGGCCATTAATTGGATCTGAAGAGGTCGGAAGGGAGATTTTGTTGATAATGCATTAAGGGATCCATTGGAGGCCCAGGACAAGGAACAGGCCCAGAGAGGTAAAAAGTAATATGAAAGTAGTTATGAGAAAGAATCCCAAAAAGAATAATGGCAAAAATAACAGCTGAAGTATGTAAAGACAATTTAACCCAGATGATAATGTTGTAAGAGGTCAGAGAAATTCGGTAATACTATTAAATTGAAAAAGGATGAAACACCAGACAATATTATTCTTTTAAAATTATTGACTCACTGCTGCCCTCTAGTGATGTTATTTTTAAAATTCTCTTAAGAAATGAAGGGAAAGGGTGTTTACACATAGCATGTTGGGCTTGTGGAGTTGTATAGGTTTTAAGTTGCACGTTTTTTTTGTTTTGGGATACTAGGGATTGAACTTCAGAGCATTTATCCTATTTTGTTTAAGAGATAGGGTTTCACTGAGTTACTTAGCCCACGCCTTTGCTAAGGCTGGCTTTGATCCTCTTGTCTCAGCCTCCAACTTGGGATTACACAGTGTGCACCACTGTGCCAGGCTTAGTTGCAGGTTTTAAGAGATAGGAATGCATAAAATTATATAGGAAGGTTTTGAATTTTTTAATCTGAAGCAAGTTGTATGGTTCAACAGTGGAAAAGTCAGTGTGATGCCATCTTTAGTCTCCACCCCATAGACCATTGTATGTCATTAGCTGGTTAGGTGACTAGAGGACTACTTGAAATCCCCAATAGGAAAATAACTTGTATCTGCCTCTTTGTAGTATATACTTACAGGAAAAACAGCCTGTGGTTTGATAACCTGCGATATTACTAATTTATCCCTGTAACTCTTTGCTTTTAAGGTCTAATTCTAGTGTTCCAAAAAGGCAAAGGGGTTGATGACTTGACCAATTTTAAATTGATTTTTTTTTTTTTTTTGCCCTTATTCTAGGAATGTGGTTTTTAACAAATTGAGACCGGAATTGTTATTAACTAATATTACTTGAGTTTTTTTGTTCTTGTTCTGGGGATGAGCCACATCCCCAGCCCCTTTTTGTGTATTTTATTAGAGACAGGTTCTCCCTCAGTTACTTAGGGCCTCACTTGCTGAGGTTGGCTTTTAATTCTATCAGCCTGCCTCTGCCTCCAAGCCACTGGGATTACAAGTTTACATTGTTAATTGATTTTTCCCATCATGAACTTATTGATTTATTGGAATTTAGGAAAAATATGTGAAAATTGAAAGCAGTTTTTTTTTTT